AAAAAATTAGAAAGAGAGTATATAATTTTTTTGTGTAAACTCCTAAAATCGACATACAAATATCTGATATTTATTGTTACATCACAAGAAGCATCCACAATAAACGAATATAAGAGATTTGATATAAGAGATTTGTATTTCTTGGTGCATGTACCTTGTGATGTCACGGCCAATTTCTTAGAAGTGCACTGTACTATAAATGTATTAATGTATTCTTATTTATATGAAATTACAATGAAATATACATTTATTAGATATTCTTTTAATACATGATGTGATCGATTTTATCATATACATACCACATTTTCATTAGAAATACATTTTAAATCCATATTTGTGTATACTGTGCCCTCTCCTGACAAATTTGAGAGTTCTGTTTTTACAGTTCTCGTTACTCATATCAAAGGGGAATTTTGTTTACAGTGCTACGTGTGTTCCCGAATTCTTTTGAAACTTTGTGGTGAAATTGATCTCTTACTGAAATCATTACAATATTGGGGATAACACTAAACTCAGTGAAATACAATAACCATGTTCCAGGTGTAGAATTTCGTCAGTAGTTTGTCACTTCCCAGTGATTGGGAGGGGTCTGTGGACATAGTTATGGGTCAGGAAGATTTTTGGTTCATGCAGCAATCTTTCTGGTAATTTGTGCATTTAAGATGCATTTCACTCGTTTGTTTGCTCAGTGCCGTGACGAATCATCTGTGGCCGAATCTTGTCTCAAGTTTTAAATTTTTCCACTTTCTTCATCATATGAAATACTATTCTTGGCTCGGGTTTTCAGCTTTCCATATTCTTTTGCTTTTTAAAATGCCTGCCATGAACAAAATCTTCCCCACGGGATTCCCCAACATTGTTGACTGGAGTCGTGTCCCATTGTAAACATTTACCCTTTTTTGTTTCTTGTAAGTTTTTCACATGTTTGCAGATGCATAAAAAAAAAGAAAAACAGTAATGAAATGTGACAAATAATAGGACTTCAAATATTAATATAGGCATGTGTTGAATGATGCCACCTCTCACTGTTTACTTGAAATAGTTGGTATATCGTTGATTTATGTCACCAGAAAGCCTTGAATTCCTGAACAGTGAAAGAGTAATTGGGCACCATAGTCCCATGAGCCATTGATCACCTAGGCCTATGTATGGAGTTATATCAAGGATCCAAGAAAGAGCAGTGGAATGCCTGATATGACAGCGGCATGACTTTGAGCAAATGTTTGTCTGTTTACTCTTTTCCTTGATTTTTGGAAAAATTTTATATCATTTTACTTTTCTTTTTGTGATCAATATTTTTATAACACCATGGTGATTATAATGTAAATAATAGTATTAATAGTATCAATATTAATAGCCAATATTTTGTGAACTGAAAACTCCATTCTGTTATTTTTATTTATTGTGTATATCCTACTTCGTGTGTTCTATCAATTTGTAAGGAACATGAATAGTAACACTCAAATATGAATACAGTAGACAGGTGTATTTTCTTAGATAGTAATACCATTTCTGGAATTTAGCAAAATATGTTAATTTCTGATATAGTTAATTCTTTGTATTCTGTTATAATCCCTATAACCTGGAATAGACTGATACATCTCATTCATTAGAAAAATATGATTGTATGTCTTAGATTAATTAAACATAGCCCAACTCTCAGCGTTGGTACAGTATATCTTAAAACAATTGTCATTGTGTTACAGATATTACAAGTTTGTACCCAAGTTTACAGAATATTTTTTATTACAGAATCCACAAAGATGTTGGCTGCAAGACTATCTGCAATGGGCACTACTTGTGCAAGGGGGTTCATGCGATCCTCCCTTATCAGCACACCCAAATCTCCCTTCATGCCAATTGTCCGTGGCTATAGAGAGGGTGGCAGAGGCTTCACACGACGGTCCAGGGTCCAGATGCAGTCTGCACAGGTCACAGAGTCTGCTGTTAAGGGCAAAATTGGACGTAAGTGGAATGTAAATTGGTTACCGAGGTTGGTTTTAGAAATCTTTGTGTGTGACATCAGATTAAGCACAACCTTATTGAAAAAATAAGCATTATATTTATAATGTTTTAAGTTTTACCATCTGATGAGGGATCTAATTTGAATTGAAGTATCACACTCATATATATATATATATATATTATATATATATATATATATATATATATATATATATATATATATAATTTTTTTTTTTTTTTTTTTTTTTTTTTTTTTTTTTTTTTTTTTTCTTTTCTTTTCCCCATACTTTTGTGCTTATGGATGTGTTTTCTTTAAGAGGTAGGAAATTTAGAAACAAATTTGAAGTTCATAAGTAGCTTTGATGGCCACAGAGCAAATTTTGAACTTTAGAAAAATCAAAGAAGCTTTGATGACATCACAGCAGGCAAATAACCAATGCTGCTACATTGGATGTGAAATTGACGTAAACATCCTTGGATCTGTAAAAAATTTTGAGTGACTTTGTTTTACAAATGACAATAGATATGGAAGAGAGGAGACCAAGAAATAGAAGAGCGAACTGATTGTGTAATCTTTCCAGTTTGAACTAGGAAATCTAGATGATTCAGTTATTGACAGTGAAGCAAATGGTACCTGTTGTTTGACCAGACAGAAAGAGGGAAGAAAGTGGATGGATGAATAAATGAATGAGGGAAAGAAAGCATGCAAGGAGACAGAGACAGAGAACAAGAACTAGAATACTATGTGATTCTGTGGTGTTATCAAGGTTTCCAAAACTTTGTTACATGACATATGTTTCAAAATGAATGTGTTTCTTGGCACTGGCTATTGCCTTAAAGTGGATCATCCTGCATAGAGGGAAGGGAATCAGTAGAGTCAATACACTCATCACAGAAATTATTGTCTTATAGGTTTCCTAATTGTTTTGTTATAAATAAATAGATAAATAAATAAATATACATACATACATACATACATATATATATATATATATATATATATATATATATATATTATATATATATATATATTTATATATGTATGTATGTATATGTATATATATATATATATATATATATATATATATATATAATATATCGTATTCATATTGTTAGTTTTTTAAACCAAAATTTTTAAAGTGACTATATGGAGAAAGTGGTTACCCTCCTGAAAATATTAAATTTTTTCATATGCTGTAAATTTTCCTTATGCATGCTCTAGCCAACCTAACATTTTAAGCTCAAAGATAACAAGAATATACAAAGCTAGAAAAAAAAACCTAATAGAATAGTTTTTGTTTTTAGTTTTATTATATATAGCTTTTTCAGTAAAATGACATTTCATTTTCGAATGACGAGACATTTGAGATTTGTGGGCACTAAAATCCATATAGAAACTAAAAGAAAGTATTTATGCCCTTTTCTTTATTCTCATAGGTATTTGAGAGATAATTTGTGCTACTTCAGTTTTATTTTTTCGTTCTAAATTATAAGAAAATAGGGAAGAAGCTGAATTACAGACATTATCCAGCATTGCCTGTTTTCATTTATTGGATTTTGCATTATTTATTCTCAATAGCATTTACTAAAATGTTTTATCTCCACACAGCCATGGAAGTTGGACAGATAGCTGTAGCCGGAGGTGCTGTGCTCGGAATGGGAGCTCTATGTTACTATGGCCTCGGAATGTCTAACGAGCCAGGGGCCATTGACCGTGTTGTGTAAGTACTTATTTAGAGATTGTTCTGTGATATCCCTTTGAGGACACCAGCCCAGAGATTGCCAGAATCGGTGTACAGAGTTTGACATTTAAACATAAAGAAAGAGGATGGCTAAAGCTAGAAAAATTAATAGACTTGATTAGAATGATAGATTCCACTTCTTTTGAGATATTTATATGTTTTGATGCCCCACCCCTGAAAAAAAGGTTCTGAATTATGGATGATTAAGGAAACAACAGTTGTTTGCAAATTTGAAGTTTTAGAGTCTGCTAAACAAAATCTCAAATAAACCACATAACCTGATTTTAAAATTTCATCAGTTTTTTAGATTTTTTAAAGATAAAAAATATTGAGAGATAAAAAAAATATATATATATATATATATTTTTTTTGGGGGGGGGGGGTGAGATAAAAAAAAAATATTGTTTTTTTATTGGGTGAGAAGCAGAAAGCTTTGAAGAAGTAGTTGGTAAGCCAGCATCTTTCAAGGCAGTTGCCCCTTTATTATTTCCTCAGTGCAAGAGGGGGACATTTTTACACTCGAGAAGTGGATTGATACAGTAAAATCTTCTCTCCTTGTGATGATGTCATTCAAGTCTTTATTGACAGCTTGTTGAGCACTGTTTGGAAAGTTGTGCATTGTAGATTCATGATTATGGTTGTTGTTGGTCTTGCATCCATGTTCTTGTGGTCTTTACCTAGAAAAGTGTAAAGTCAAGTTTTTAACTTACTTTGGAAAGCTGTAGTTCCATAAGCAGAGGCATATTACATAACTCTCCCTAACATCAAGTATACCTTAAGAAGTGTCGTGTAGTTTACAAATGACACATGTGGTCTGGATCAAAACTCGCCATCAGTTCCAGGTTGACATCTGTCTGGAATGACATGACTCCTCTGAACTTCAAATTTGATATTTAAGCATGGATCTTCTATTTTAATGGATGGATAGAACAAGTTCAACATCTCTAATGTGTATTGGTTTCACCCGCACTAATTTCTTGTTTTGATTAAGCATACAGTTTAAAAGATTCATATTTTTAGAATACTCACATTTTCTTTATCTTGTTACATATTTTCAAGATTTCTCAATGTGGTGAAAAGTTTAGAAAATTATATTTACATGATAATAATATGCTCTGAAAGAATCTTCACTGAAATTTTTGATTTTTTAAGGGTCATTTAGCTTTATCAACAATAATTATGACATTTTTCCCACAGAGTATGGCCTCAGTTTGTACGGGACAGAATCCGGGACACATACCTGTACTTGGGAGCATCATGTGCTGCAACAGCTGCCTCTGCTATTGCCGTATTCAAATCACCCATGGGCCACCGCTTCTTTGCATTGTGTTCAAGGCATCCCATTGCTGTATGTACTATGAAGTATTGCCCTTTTTATGACCTTATTATATGAGTTAGCTAGGAATATTTATTAGGAATGACACATGAACTTTTGAAGTAGAGCAAGAAAATAAACAGATAGTAATGATTTGGTATAGATGTTTGACTCTTTAAAGAGGAAATGCTAGCTAAGGTATGGTAACAGTATCACTGGACAAACAATTCTAATTCATAGTATATATTTTTTTCCACAGTCAACAATTGGCATCATTGTCGCTCTTATGGGCACAGGCCAGGCGATGATGGCCATTCCCTATTCACCAGGCATTGGGTCGAAACAGATGATGTGGTTGCTCAACTGTGGAATACTTGGCTTGGCCATTGCACCCGTCGGCGCATTGGGTGGGGCTCTGGCCATCAGGGCAGCTTGGTACACAGCTGGTGAGTAGAGTTCAGTTGGAGTCTGCTAGAGTATATGTATGTATGTATGTATGTATGTATGTATGTATGTATGTATGTATGTATGTATGCATGCATGCATGCATGTATGTATGAATGTATGTATGTATGTATGTATGTATGTATGTATATATTTATATGTATGTATGTATATGTATATATATTGTGTATGTATATGTATATATATATATATATATATATATATATATATATATATATATATATATATATATATATATATACATATACATACAAATACATATACATGTATATATATTTGTGTGTGTGTGTGTGTGTGTGTGTGTGTGTGTGTGTGTGTGTGTGTGTGTGTGTGTGTGTGTGTGTGTGTGTGTGTGTGTGTGTGTGTGTGTGTGTTTGAGAGAGAGAGAGAGAGAGAGAGAGAGAGAGAGAGAGAATGAGTGAGTGAGTGAGTGAGTGAGTGAGTGAGTGAGTGAGTGAGTGTGAGTGAGTGTGAGTGAGTGAGTGAGTGAAGTGATGAGTGAGTGTGTGTGTGTGTGTGTGTGTGTGTGTGTGTGTGTGTGTGTGTGTGTGTGTGTGTGTGTGTGTGTGTGTGTGTGTGTGTGTGTGTGTGTGTGTGTGTCTGTGTGTGTGTGTGTACCAGGTGTTAGTTTCCTTCCAAGAGATTATATTTTAAGATCACTTTCCCTATTAGGGGTAAGGAGGGCTCAAGGGGGGTCAAATTGGGAAATATTAATAGAAAAAACTATCTTGCAGATTTACTTGTTTTTAACATATTTGATGTATTTCAGTAATCTGCATCTTTTGATATCAAATTTATGGGGGTCACAACAAGGAGGGTGATGCCTTCTGAAAAAAAGACTTTTTGTGTGTGTGTGTTTGGAGGGGGGGCAGCTGATCAGATGTCAGACAGTAAAATGAATTAGGCCATGAAAAAAAATCTGAATAAACATCAATGAATTCCTAATGGAACCTTTTGAGTTTATCTAGTAACTTATGTCATACGTAGTCTTCACATTTTTTTATTTTTTTTATGTATAACTAGTAAAATAACCCTATTTTGGCATTTATTATTGAAAATTATTATTTTTTATGCTTCAAATGAAAGTAAATGTTAAATGATTGCAATCAGAAAAGTCTAATGTGGTGATGCAACTTGCAAGTCTTATCCTGGGTTCTCCAGAGGGGGCCCACAGTGTGGCTGGATCACCCAGCTGAAGTACACATCTGGTCACCACCAGTTAATTTTTAGAGATAAAGACTTGTAACTGTTCATTTATCGTAAACACATGTATATAATGTATATGTAAATATTGGATCATATCTACTACAATTTAGAGAAAATATTCAGTCATTTGATCATTTTTATTTATTTATTTATTTTTTTATTTTCATATTATAATCTTTCACTTTGGGAAGAAACTGTTGTGATAAGACACTTCCATCCTGTGATACATTCCAATAGGTAATGTCAAAATAAAACAAATCATATTTGCTCCTCCATGGCAAGAGTACAGAAGGGTGAGAATAGCTGTCACAATGACAGGGAGGCTAGGGTTTCTCACCTTGTCTGCTGCCTGATATTTTGTTGCAGGAGTTTATGTTTGTGTGGCAACAGGAACAATGAAGGAAGAACAAGAAAACACACGAATATGCTGAAGGCCTTTTTGCTATTGCTTCATTAGGGCATTACCCTGATGAAGCAATAGCGAAAAGGCCTTCGGCATATTTGTGTGTTTTCTTGTACTCCCCTTCATTGTTCCTGTTGCAATTTGTTCATCATGAATTCCACATATTTGCGTGGATAATTCTACACTCATTTATGAATCTGAAACAGGGGCCTCGGCCACTCCAGCCCAGCCTCCCCCCCCCACAACTACCCCTCCCAGTAATTCAAGTAAGTAATATTTAAAGAGAAAAGTTTTCTGTGTTGACACTACTTTAAATCATTTTACAGGTATTGTAGGAGGTTTGAGCACTGTGGCTGTCTGTGCTCCAAGTGACAAGTTCCTCAACTGGGCAGGACCACTGGGTATTGGTCTAGGTGGCGTCTTTGTAGCTTCCATCGGCTCCGCTTTCTTGCCCCCAACCTCAGCCCTCGGTCTCTCTCTCTATTCCATCTCCCTTTATGGTGGCCTGTTGCTCTTCTCAGCCTTCCTCTTGTATGATACACAGAAGGTAAGTGGGACAGAAACATTATCTTCATCCATGAAAGACATAGTTTGTGCATGCATATTTAATTCCATATTATGGACATAGTGTTCTCATGACACATTTTGTAACATCTCGATGATATAAATCATGTTCTACTAACATTGAGGGTGTGATATGCAGAGAAATCATAGAATGCTGTTGATATTGACCCCTAAAGATGCAATTACTCAACTAAACCTGCCCTTTACCCTCAAGCTGCAAATGATATGGTATAATGAACTCTTGCTTTTCCCTTTCCCTTGTGATAGTCCCCTTAAGTAGCACAGAAGCATTATTTGTTAAGGTGATACTGAATATTTTTACTGCAACATGTATATCTCAGATAACCAGATTATTACTTCCAGGTCATCCGGAAAGCTGAGACCCACCCCAACATGTGGGGGGTCATGCCTTATGACCCCATCAACATGTCCCACCACATTGTGCTGGATGTGGTCAACATCTTTGTGCGAATGGTCCAAATTCTGGCCATGGGAGGAGGAAGACGGAAGTAATTCGCAAGCTTGATTCTAAACCTTGCTAGCCTTATGGCTGACTTGTGGATTAAGGCTTAGATTAAAATGATAGTGTTTGTAAATGTTATGCATTATTATTATGGCAACGATGATAATTATTATTAAGGTATTTGAAAGTCATGGTGACAGTGTCAGAAAAGCTGCTGTTGGAGTTTATAACTACTTTATTTAAACTGGAATTTTCTTTGCCTTCTTTTTCTTCATAATAGGTAGCATCTGTTTTAAAAAGTTGAAGAAAGACGTATATGTGAACTCTATATTAATTTCTGGTTATAATATCATTATGTATTAATGCATTAATACTTTACTATGTGTAGACTTGTTGATAAAGCTTCATGAAATTGGTTTGATTATTTTTTGTTGTTTATATTTTTATTTTTAGTATTACTGTTGTTAGTTTTACTTTTCTTATTAATGTTATTCTATAATTTTAATCATATATTTTTTTTTACTGTGAACAAACACTCACATAGGAAAACTTTATTCCATATATTATAATTTATTTTAAAACTTTGAAAATGCATGGATTGTAAGAACTGAGTACTTACAGTAGCTTATCATACATGGTTCTTGCTAGTCACGGTGTATGCTTAAAACTTTTTTTATTTTTAACTCATCCAGGTAATTATTTATTTCATTATTAAAAGGGAGAAAGTTTGTTGTTTATTCAAATTCAGTAGACTGGTTAGGTTTATTTTTTGTCTGCTGTTTTATCCTTAGTGATATTTATTTTTTTTTTTTATTAGAGAAAGGGATTGCCTATGTGTTAGATATAGGTATTGTAGTTCTACTATCTCCTATCAATATGATATTTGATTATACTCCAGTGATGTAAATGTTCAAATTATTTGAAAAGGATATAAATCACAGAAAAGTTGAAGAAATAGAGACATCTGATACAGCAAGGAAGTTTAAGAGAGAGAGAGAGAGAATTCTAAAAAAGATCTGAACAAGTCGAAGGTGATCAGGAGCAGTGCAATGACTGATATACGGAATTACTTCCAAAATTGATAACAGGTCTAAAGCGATGAAATCTGCTAGCAGAATATTGAACACAATATTCTAGCAATGCTTACTCAGCTTTCCTTGCTAAGATATGTATCTTTGAATATGTATATATCTGTTAATAAAATTTAATTTCTATTTGCCTGGGTTTTATATCTTCATCCATTACCATGTTACAACAGTGCATAATAGATGGTCTAATTTGATTTTTTTAAGGAAACGTCAGGCACAACAGTTCCTCTCAGTTACAGGAGTATTATGCTGCATTGTCATGAGAAACTGCAGTTGTAGAAATAATTGGAATACGTTTTGCTTGTAGATTTAAATGCAGTACATGTACATAAACATGATAAAGATGATATATAATATATATTCTGATGATGATGATATATACTAATGATTCTGATAATGATGATATATACTAATGATTATGATAATGATAACAATAATAATGATAGTAATAATATAAAGATGATGATAATGATATGATAATATGATGATAATAATAATGATGATGATAATAATAATAACAATGATAATAAACTTAAATGGTGATAATAATGATGATAATAATATCATTATTACCTCTGCCAAGAAGATTATGTTGTTGGTAGTGTTCATACGATTTGTTAGTCAGTTTATTTGTTTGTTAGTTGGTTAGCATGATAACTCAAAAAGTTATGAACAGATTTTTGTGAAAATTTTACCAGAGGTGTCTTTGCACAACATTAAATTTTGGTGGTGGTCCAGATCATATTCAGATCTAGAAATTTCTGTTTGTTTTTTTGTGGTTAGTTGGGTAGCAGGATAACCATCTAAGGCACACCAGAGATATATCTTATCCCAACTTGGATGCCATTAAATTTTGGTGATGATCCAGATCCTGTGTAGGATAAAAAGGTTATAAACAAAATTTTATGAAATTTTCCCCGAATTGTGTCTTGCCCACTTAAATAAATGCATTTAATATGGTTGATCTGGATTATGATCTTGATGTAGGAATAAAAAAAAAAAAAATCTTAAGCATTGTGAGAGTGAATACAAATTCTATTTTGATGCCATCACTGCACTCAAGAAACAAAAACCCGGATGTCACCAGTTTACTTCAGAAAGAGTAAATCTTACAGTGTGGATATTTTTATTGCATCAGTGACCCTATGGCCTTAGTGGAAGTATGCGCTCTTTGAGGGACTCTAGTTATTATTATTGATGCTATTATTAATGTTGTTATATTATTGTTGTGTTATTGTTATTGATATTATTATTGTTGTCATCATCATTGTCATATCCATCTCATCATCATCATCATCATCATCATCATCATCATCATCATCATCATCATCACCATCATCATTACTATCATTGCTCTCATTCTTATTATTGTTATAGTTATTGTTATCTTTATCGTTTTTGTTAACATAATCGTTATCATTCATCATTATTATTATTATTTATATTATTTTATTATTATTATTATTATTATTATTATTATTATTATTATTATTATTATTATTATTATTATTATCATCATCATTATCATTATTATTCATACTATTATTTTATGTTATTTACATTAGTATATAATGATTACCAATTCCAATGATTATTATGATTATCATCATATGTTGTACTGTTATTAGTATTTTTATCATTATCATTATCATTATCCTCCTCTTCCTATTTCCTCCTCCTCCTCCTCATCATCATCATCATCATCATTTTTGTCATCGTTATCATCATCACCATTGTTGTCATCATAATCATCATCGTCATCATTATCCTCATCCTCATAATTTTATCATCATATATTATCATCAACATCATTCCATAATTATTATGTAATATCATAATTATCATTATTATCATTATTGTCATTAGGATGATGATGTATTATTATTATTATTATTATTATTATTATTATTATTATTATTATATTATTATTATTATATTATTATTATATTATATTATTATTATTATTATTATATTATTATTATTTATCATTATTATTGTTATTATTACTATCATCATCATCATTATCATTATCATCATTCATCATCATGGTCGTTGTCGTCTTTATGAATATAATATTGTTTTTATTAATTTATTACGAATTGTCACTAGTAAGGACTCGTTCTCAGTAACAGTATAAAGTGTCTTATCTTTAATTCTGTTACATTTTATATTCTTTCGAAAACTTTCAGACTGATTTATTTATTAATTTATTTTTACTTTTGCTCTCTAATGGCAAATATAGTTTCCTTATTGCTTCACTTTCATCAGTTTGTATATTCTTAATCTTCTCAATTATCACTTATTATCATCACCATCATTATCATGTCGTTAGTATTATTAGTGTTATCGTTATGTATTTATTATGAAAGTTATAGCAATCGCGCGTTTTTTATATTATTGTTGTTAATATTATTTTGATATTATTGTTGTTATCTGAACCGAGAAAACTTTCTACGTAGTGGTAACAATAACAGTAGTAATAGTATTAATGGAAATGATATTAACGATGTTGATGATGGTGGTGGTGATGATGATAGTAGCAGTAATGACAGTGATAATAAGAATTAGTATTTTGTTATTATGATTATCATTGTCATTATCTTAACCGTTATGGTATGTTTTTGTTATTTTTATTGTTGATATTATGACTAATGTTGACTACTTGCCATTTTTATTTTTGTTGTTATTATTGTAAAGATGTGTTTACGTATTTGTGTATATTTTGAATTCCTTCCGTATATCCTCATTTAACAGAATGGGAGGTCATATGCCAGAGTAAATCTGACCAAATACCTTTCATCTGAATTATTGTTCTTTCAATTAATTTCCTTGAAGCTGTTTTATTTCAGCTCTTCCATTATTTATATCGTAAAGTTTAAGGGTATAATGCATAGAACAGTTTTTTTTTTTTATAATATATTTACACAAGTGATATCAAAATGGGCAAAAAAAAAATAGATATTTACAAAGGACCGATGTTCTGGTCCGTGTGCGGCCCGGATGGGCGGTCCGGGCCACACGAGCGCTCACTGCGGGGCCGCGCTGGGCGATGTTAGTGCCGCCCGCGAGGTTGCTGCCAGCAGAACCTCGCGGTGGCGGGCCGCAGTGAGGCGGGCGGCGGGCGTACAGCAGATGTCCGGGGCTGGGGGCGTGAGGGCGGCTCGGGGGCGCCGGGTCTAGTAACCGTATCCGTACATCATGGTGGAGGAGCACTTGGTGACGGTGTGGTACTCGGGCACGGTCTGGTACACGGTCATGGTGACGTACTCGTTGACGGACTGGGTGACGGTGTTGTAGACGTACTCCTGCTTGACCTGAGTCTCGTACTGGGTGACGTAGTAGGGGTTCTTGACAGTCATGGTGACGTACTGTTGCTGGACCTTGGTCTGGGTGACGTAGTAGGCCTTGGTCTCATAACCGGTGTTGGTGACGAAGTTGGTCATGGGGTAGCTCTGGGTCTCGGTGTTGGTCACGTACACGGCGGTGGTCTCCGTGAAGTACTGCTTGGCGGTGTTGTAGCCGTAGGCGGACTCGGTCATGTAGACGGGGACGGTGACCATCTTGGTGTCGTACAGGATCTTGGTCTCGGTGAGGATGGCAGGCTCAGCGTACGCCGTCATCGTCGAGTACTGGATGATGGTCTTGGGCGCCACCAGGGTCTCGGTGATGTAGGCGTAGTTGGTGGTGGGGACCTCCTTGGTCACGGTGGCGTAGTGGGCCTGGGTTCCCTGCACGTCCTTGGTCATCGTCTTCGTCACGTACTTGGGGTAGCACGCCTCCTCCTTGGGTGGGGGGCCGTACGAGGAGGACAGCTCCACCTTGATGTAGCCAGGGGAGGCGCCATAATCGGGAAGAGCCACGGCAGAGCACGCCAGAGCCACAATCACGCCCAACACAGCTGTCCGGATCATCTGGGGGAGAGAGAGGGGCGTTAGCCATGTGTCAGGACTACATTGTTGACGCATTTCTTTTAAATTCTCATTTCCTTTCATTGCTAAGTGAATGGCTGTTGAGTGAGAGTAAAGTTCTAAACCCCAACAAAACCTTTAGCCGAGATATGCGACACAAAGACAAAGTGTTTACAATCCCAAGTTATATTAATGCAAGTATGTGAATCAGAATGTTCTTAGATAATGAAGATCATTATTATCATGACTATCATAAACTTCCTAAGTCGTGCCCCGCACCACATGTCGAGCGCTCGGGAAGAGAAAGCGCGCGCAGCCAAAGAGGCTTCTCGCGGCTCATGTTGTTACGTAGCGACAAAGTGACCTGGACAAGGCCGCGGAGGAAACCCTGAGCTTTATGGTTACCCGAAGGCCCGCCCTTAAACCCAACCCCTAAACACTGTCATTCATCCCCTTCGCCCTTAGCCCTAACACGAACCCTCCGTGACGGAATGTAAAGGAAGTGAAAGTGGCAGATGATGATTACCTCCCCCTCCCCCCTCCCTCCCTCTCGCGACATCCTTCGCCGAACTTTCGACTAATCATGCTGTGGTGACGCCATCATGGGAGACAAAGGGACTGGAAGACGGCTGTGATTGTCCGTCCCTCGTTAGGAATGTTGATGCCGTGTGACCATAGCATTAAAGACTGCAAGAATCCTATCGATTAAATGTTCTCTGATCTGATCTAATTTTGATTTTCATTGATCTTATCATATTAAAAATACGACCTTCTTCCTAAGTGTAGAGGGACAGGCAGGAACTAGACTGATCTTCGAAGAGTAAATCTAAGTCGAGTGAAACTTCTCGAACATCCGGGGTGAAAGCTGATGTTCCAGTAACAATGTCGTTACTGGAACGCACCGCAATTTACGAGCAACTCTCGCCAGTCTCTTTAAATGATAAACGTCCAAAAAATAAAGCATGCAAAAACAAGTACAAGTGGAGGTTTGATGAACGAGATTTTAAGACTTTTTGTCTAAAAGTGTGACGTTAATTAACGTTTCTCTCTCGGAAAAACAACAAATTCAGTGTGGCAAAGAGAAATTTATAGAATACAAAAAAGGAAGAAAGAGCGAGGTACAGAGCGATATATATATATATATATATATATATATATATATTATATATATATATATATATATATATATAATATATATATATATAATCAAAGTCGAGTGAAACTTGTGAGAGAGAGAGAAATAGAGAGCGGACGAGGGAGGGGGGGGGGGGAAATAGAAAGTAAAAGACTGACGTTCGGATCATTACAGCAAGAGGAAGCCACATCACAATGACCAGCCACTCGTGCGGCGGTCGGTCGGTTAGGCAGCTGATCCCTTCACTTCACTTTCTACTGATGTTCGTCCGTGTTGCAATCCCCATAGCAAGCCATCCGGTTCGGTCGTGGTCCGGCGGCTGTAATTGCGTATTTGGAAATCCTTTTTTCTCATCCCGGTGGCTGTCATTGCCTTGTGAGTTTCCGCGCGGCGTAACTACTTGACGAGTCGGTGTGGTAATAAGGTTAGGCGCTCTTAGACTATGACAAACAAGCGTTATGGGAGAAGCAAAGGGAACAAATCGAGCACGTCATACTTTTTTTTAAAGGTTTATTTCGTTTTTGAATGGATCGGGAAAGCTGCTTGACAATGGTCCGGAGCGAAACTTGACCTTGGTATGTAAGGGTCGTGGTACCTGCCTCCGCCTTACAAGGTGAGACCCTTACTTTCACTGCCTCTCACCAACGGCTTTTCTCCGGCTTGAGGACTTTCTCTTCCTGCGCGATCTCTGAACGGGGTTTCACCTTTTGAATCGGCAGTTCTTTGTGGTGTCGGATCGTATTTTT